CATAACATAGAGCATCGTACAAACATATTTAACTGGGTCAAACTCAATTGGAAAACTCTAGATTTGCAGAGTAGATAAAATGTGTGTGTGGCGTGATGAATAACCATTCTACCTATGCCAAAAAACAAAATGTTAAAAACAAAACAAACTTCAAAAAAGAACTGAGATGGAACCCCATCTGACAGCAAGCTTCCTAATATGTTTAAAACAAGATTCGATTTATAAGAGTTCATATTTACCCTTTCTGAAGGTCAATGGTTGATTCTAGGTTTCCCTTTATCATGAATATGAAGTAAAATCTTGAGACAAAATACCGAGGCCTGTGTGTTAGATTGTTATTGAAATGAGTCATTCTTCTGCATATTCACACCTAATATAGTCCCCTCTCACATTTGTTCTACATTTGGTCTATGACTTGCTTTGGCCATAAGACAGCAATGTCACATGTCAGGAGGGCTTGAAAAGTACTTGTACATTGGGGCTTTGCTCTTGGATCCCAAGAGAGGCCTGTGCTAGCCAGTGAGAGACATTTAGTTCAGCCAACAACCAGCTCCAACTCCAAACATATGAGCGAAGCCATCTTAGACCTTCTAGCCCCAGCTGAGCCTCCAGATAACTGGCTGCATGAGTGACCTAAGGCAAGATAGCAGAACTGCCAGCTGAGCCCTGCCCAAAGAGCTGACCCATAGTATTGTAAACAAATACATCTTTTTAAGCCACTGACTTTTGGGGCTAATTATTATGCATGAAAGCTAAATAATAGAGCTCAAATCTAAGCATTTCATGGAGTAGCAATAGCAATATGGAACCCAGTAATCGCTGGAGAGCCTGGGGTATTTTCACAAGTAGGTTAGGAGAGTCGGTTACCTGAAAAAGTAGAGTCAAAGAATATTAGGCTAAAAAGACAACATATAAATTAATGCTGCTTTTATCTGCTCTCCATTCTATGATTTCTGGGTTAAGTATAAGGGGAAAGAAAGTAAGCCAATCTTCATGATCATATTAATAGCCCAGAGGAGAAAGAAGTCATGCTACATCCTGAGAGAGCCAACTATTACCTTTTGTACCAGCTAATAATGAAGTACCATACAACAGCACAGTGACAGAACTGGCCAGCTTGACAGTTGCACATTGCCTTCTGCTTCAGTCCCTCCCAGGCCATTATCATTACTCCCTCAGCATCACTGCTACTGATAGGAGAAGTTAAGGCATGGAACAGAGAAAAGACTCAACCAAAGACAATTTCTCCGCACTGTAGAGCCAAGAGGCCCGCTAAGTTCTGGTGACAACAATACTGAGGATAAAACCATTATCTAGTCCAACTTTTTCCTTTAAAAATGAGAAACAGGCTCTTGGGGGATGACTTGTCCAAGGCCGCACAGCTAGACATGATTAAATTGACTCATGAACACATGTTCAATAACTCTAATACTCTACAGCAATGAGGGACACAGGATATGAGCACTGTGACCCAAGGGAGGAATCATATCATACAATTTCTAGTTTAATAATTCTTCTGTTCTTGACAGATTTAAGAGTATTGTCCAAATGATCACCTAAGACAGTCAAGGAAGCCATAAGACACGTTGACTCTAACAATTTTTTAAACAATGACTAGGAAACTCAGCTGACCAAAGGATAAGGGAGAGAAAAATCCATCAACATTTCATTATTATAAAGACTGATGTGTACTTATAGGCCTTTCCTTCTACTTCGATTAAAGGCCAATTAATAATAATCATAAATAGCATATTTTATACAATAAAATATAAACTTATGTCTTGAAGTATAAACAGCAGCTAATAAATGATTTTGCAAATCATTCTTAAATGCTTACATATGCATAAATGTTAAACTTAACATATGTATCTGGTTTTATAACATACTCTAGGGGAAAATGCCCTGATCACTTTTCTGTTTCTAACTTTCCATGTGATTGTGAACAAGTGATTAAACCACTCCAGGTCTCAAAAGTTCCATCAATAAACAAGATGATTGGATTTCAAGTCTGAAGCAATACGGCAGAACAGAAAAAAACTTAGGATACAGCCACAGTTGAAATTGAATTCAGGACCTAGGATCTTGTTAACTGTCTGGCTGTAGGCCTATACTTTACCTCTTACCCATCTAGGTAAAAGGAGTGACTACACCCTTCTCACAGGGAATGATAAGAATGAAAAATAATCCACTTAAAGTTATTTAGCATATGCCTGATCCATAGGAATGCTCAGTAAAGAACAGCTGATAATGATTCATCCCACATTTATTGAACCTCAATTCTGTGCCAGGCACTGTTCTAGATGTGAAGGATACATGAGTTAACAATACTAAAAGAGCTCCCTGCCTTGCCCAGCTGGCATTATGATGGCATGAAGATCCACAACTCTAATATGGAAGAACTATGTGCTATATGCTGCAGAAAGGTTCTGATTCCACTCTCGGCCTCACTATAGAATCCAGAGCAATTAGCCCCTCTTAGTCATATCCCAGGCTGGCTAGGTCCTCACGGACTTAAGAGACCATCCCATCACTCTGCTACCGTAAACACCATGAAAAGCAGAGCCAGGGCTGGGTTTCACACTACCATGCACCTTAGTCTCTCCCATCTCCTCACCAGAACTGTTCCCCAAGCCTGCAGCAGAGGCTTCCAGAAACCTCCGTGAAGGCCGTCTGTTTAGCCGCATTACCCGCTACTTCCCACCAGAGGTCGCCCTCCCACACAAGCCCAAGCAAATAGTACCCAGCTTAGCCTTCTTGGCAGCAGTGACATTATTTTCTTTCTCTATTTTTATCTATTAAAAAGATTTCTTCACAGCCATAACTTAGATCTCTACACTAAAATGGAGCAACAGGAAGATATAATGGTGCATTTCATTTATGAATGACCTATAATAAATTACTCTGAAGTGTCCCGAGTGCCAGAAGACAGAACGCTTTGTCTGCCCATGGACTGTATTTCACATACTTTAATTTAGCTGACACATAAAACTCATTTGACATTTCGCAGGTATTTGTGTGGGACAAGGGAGGGGAGCTGGCAAGCATGAGGGGACCACTGCGGGGCTGGGCGGGGAGTGAGGGCAGTGGGCAGAGCCAAGGATATTTGGTTCTTGTTGAGGGTTAAGGTATGGAGCCTGGGTAACCCTGGCAACGCGAGGTCGTTCCCGAGCAGATTGTTGTCCAAGATGAGTTCCTCCAGGCTCCCGAACGCGCTCAGTCCTTCCAGTGACCTGCAATGACAAAGGCAACAGGAAAAATGATCCTGCACTAAATCAGGGAGGCCATTATGAGCCGAAATAAATATTTTAACCTTCCCTTTCAGGACTGGGAATAGTTTGGGCTTGGTGCCTGTCAGCAAAGTGAATGACAAGAATTAGTAGCGGGAGCCGGGGCGGGGGCGGCGGGGGAGAAGGGGCCGCTGGCACTCACCGCATCCTTCACGCATTGCCAACATGAAGGATGAGGGTCACTTAGTGAGTAGCCAGGATCCAAAACAAAGGGCTTCAGATACGGCCTGCAGGATAAATTTGTCAATGTCTTGTGCCTTCAGGCACCCAGCCTAGGCTGACCCTAACCTCCATTCCCAAGATAAATAACTCTGTCACAGTTCACCTTCATTCCCTGGACACAAATTTAAGTTGTCATCCATCATTCCTGCCCAGAAATATCATACCCCTCTTACAATAATAAATATAACTTCAAGTATCATTTCTTAGCGGTTCTCCTCTGCACAGTTGTAGGAAACAGCAAGGAAGGCTTCTCTTCTCTCCATTCACGGCCTTTGACTTTTTTTTTTTTCCACTTTTTTCCTCCTTTACTAATCACTTAATTTGCTTCTGCCCAGTGTCCCTGTGGCTGCCCCCAACAGCAGGGCAACTGCAGAAGCACATAATCACTCCAGTCTGAGAGGACTGTTTCTTTTTCTTTATTTTTGTTTTTGTTTTTGTTTTTGTTTGGGACGGGAGCTTGGGGAGACAGGGGTAGGGAAGCAGTTGGAGGAATTTGTTTCAATGCTCCTGGGATAAGTTACTGTTTTAATTTATGGAAAGTGGATTTCTCACTTTATTTTTGAAAGAAGTGTTGAGTGCAGCAAGGTAGATGTCGAGGCAGTAAATAAACAGGCATCTGAAAGAATTAGGTACCCGGCTCAGGGAAAAAAAGAAAAAAAAAAGTATCAGAAAAGGAAAAACAGCCTTTTTTACACACTTAGCCAAAAGTTTAACTCAATATGGGCTCAGTCGCATTGGGGGCTGGAGGCGGTGAGGGGCAGTTGTGCGCATGTGCCTGTCCTGGCACACACAGACGTTAATTAAAGAAAGCTGCCGGGTGGAGGGACTTAAACAGACACATGTACTCCCAGCTCGTTCACCTGCCAGACCCAAGAGCCGTGCTGAGCTTGCACAGGCTGACAGCTGAGCTACGACGTCGACCAGAGGGAGGACTCGCATGGGATCTCCTGGCTATTCTACAAAATGTGACGAATCAGGGAGTCATTGTCTACACTATTTATTCATTATTGATAGCTTGTATATTATATACACACACACACACACCTGCTTGCATGTGCAAAACCTGCACATCTGGTGTGAGTGTGAACTTCAGCACCAGAGCTTTCTGGAGCCATCCATATCTCCCCTGTGGGACCACTGCCAAGAGGACTCCAAAATAGGGAGGCAATACTTGGGAGGTATAATATGCATTGGGAATAAGTAGTTAAACCCCCAGACTCCACTGGGCCCAGAGCTCCACCAGCATGTTCCATTTCTGCCTGACCCAGGGCCCAGCACCCAGACGGTGCCTCCTACGACCAACACTACCTGCTAAACAGCAGAAGAGCAATACTAAAAACATTTTGAGTTAAGGTCAGTGGGGTCATCATGTTTCATTTCCTCCTCTTCGTTTCTCTTCTTCCTTTCTCTTCTTCCTCACATTTCAGGGAGGAAACCACAACTTATACACATGCAGCCAGGGAGGTCTGGAATTTTACCTCAGCTCCACCATTTATTGCAGTATGAATTTGGGAACATCAGTAACCCATCAGAACATCCTTGTTCTGTGCTGATTTCAGCTCATAGAATCTTATGGAGAATAAGTGAAAGAAGACTAACATGTTAGTTTCTTTTTCATCCTCCTTTCTTTCCCTGATTTTCCTGGAAGCCCTGACCTCTGGGGCATACAAGGTGTGCAGTCAGTCCTGCCTCTGCAGGGAGACCTCAGCCTTTCTTGAAGTTCCTTCCTCCACGGGGGTTAATGAGTGATGATCTGAAAATGCTTTTCAGAACTAGGCTCCGTTTACCACAAACAGAGTTGAGGCCACCTCCCATCAGGGCGCCTTATGGATGGCTAATAAGTTCTTTGTGCATAAACATCAGTTGGGCTCTGGTCAGAGGCAGCATCCAAATAGACATTGTTCCCGAGTTATGTTATGCAAATATAATACTCATATCATGAGAATCAGCAAATGGTTGGCAACTGGCAAGCAGAAGAAAGCTCCCTTCCAAGAGTGCTTCAGGGGAGGCGTAAAACAAAATGACATAGCATGAAAAGGGACAAAGCAGGGAACACTAGAGGGAGTGCCCACAGAGACCGCCTTTCTCTCAGAGGCGGGCTCCAGGGCACAGCTCAACACTGGCTTCCAGGCTGAGACTTCAGAGGAGTTGGGAAGCTCAGGCTCTAATCCCCTGTCACCTGTCTGGTTCTGAGATTCCTTTTGCCATGTAATGTTATTAGCTGCTCAGTTAAAAGAGAACCATGTTACGTGGGGAGTTGCTAATTAATAAATCCCTGTCTTCATGTTATCAGTGTTGTGTGCACTTGGTGATTTAATCAGCTAAATTCAGAGCTGAGGGATTGAGGACAGGAGGCAGAGAGCGTAGTGAAGAGTAAAACTGGAGAGGACAGGATTTCTGGGGCTCGGCTGGCCTGCGGAGACCAATAAACAAACACCTGGACGATGGTTTTATTTTTTCCTTTTTAATAATTTTACTTTTGTTGTTGTAGCTGCTGCTGCTGTTTTTTCCTGGAAGGAGTAGGGTCAATAAATGATTTGAATCAATCTTTGAGTTCATATTCCTATATACAAGACGCCTGCAAATAGACATGTGCTGTTAAATAAAATGACGAGGCAAAAGGGCTTTAAGGTTCCACACAGATCTATGCTGTTTAATGGGACAGCTGTAGTAGCTACGAGGAAAAGATGACAAGACTGTAATTTCTCTGCTATAACCTTGTGTACAGACAGCAAAATGCACCCCAGATCCATGAGCCCTGGTGGAAGGGGTAGCTGTCATTTCGGGGTTCCTCACCAGCTTGGTTGGCAGTGGCAGCAGATGTCTGAGGGGTGGGCTGAGAAGGCGAGGCAGGCTTATCTGCCATGGTCAAGGCTGGAAAGGAAGGGCAAGGCTTCAGCCACTACCTCAGCACAGCCAGTTAGAGAGAGGTCTGCCCAGCCAAGAGACACGAAGGGCAGGCAGCGGGATCTACGTGCGGTTGGACCTGTGGCAGGTGGTTTGCTCTAGAAATCTAATCAGCACCACTGAAGCACACCATAGGCTGCCTTCCTCCTGCTCCACCAGCAGGAAAGTTGCTCATTACCTCACCCACAGGTACTATCTCAGTTACCTCGTACACAGGCCTCTGCCTGGGCTCCCCCAGGAACCGCTGTAGCTGCCTGGAGACTCCCAGCGCCTTTTCCAAAGTCATATCAAAATGACAAAACATCACAATGCATTCAGCTCCAGTGGATTCAAACAGAGAGAACTTTTAAGTTTCCATTGTAATTAACCCTATCCTCGTTAAGATAATTATGATCAAGCTTCCTGTCACAGTTAATATCCCGGCATCATTGCCCGTGGCTCACACACTGCCCTCATTAGCTTATAAAAACAGAAGCACTAAACAGGCGGCTGCCGCCCTTTTCAAGCTGGGCCAGTGGCTGTGAGACTTTATGGAAGGGCCTTGGGCAGAGCAGCAGGCCCCACAAAGGGCCACACCCTGAACCTCAATCCCTTTTGCTCCTGGGTGTGTGCACATTCAGCAGCCTTCGTCTTTTTTCCAAAAGTTAGCCTCTCGTCAGAATGGAGAAGGAGAGGGGCCAGGACCAAAGTAGAGCTGGTAGGTTTGGGGCAGAGGAGCTACTAATACATAGCTACATCTTCCTGCCTCTTACCCAGCAAAAATCCAGCCAGAAAAAGCACCAAAGGATACCTCCAGAACCCCTGGTTCGACAGCTGGCAACCTTATTCCTAGGGTATAGGCTGTGATAAGAATTAGACTCCTCTCTCCTCAGCTTCCAGGCTATACCAGGAACAATACTTCTGCCTGGCATGAGATGGGCAGGAGACAGGGACACAGTTAACCAAAGACTCTAAAAAAGACGTGTGTCTCCATAGTTAGCCTCAGACCCAGAACCAAAAGTTAGGATGTTCTCAAATCAATTAAGAAAATAAGCTCTCTACTAAGATCTTTACCTACTCCCTCACTATATCTACCTAAATATCTACATATGTATTTTTAACTGAGAAAATGGGGAGGCCATGGAAATCCTAGAGAACTTAACCTATATGTCTGATGTCTACCATATTGGCTAGTCCTACAAATTCACAAGAGCCAGCTGTTGCCCCCTCTGTAATGTTTTTTCTGGATTATTTCTGCCTTCCCAGCTCCATCCGCTCTGCCGCCCCCCCCCCCAACCCCCCCCCCCACAAAAAAAAAACAAACAAACTAATCTCAATGTAACTTCCATAAGACCTGGAAAGTTATCAAATGCACAGTGAGGGCTCTTGGCCAACTGACTACTTACTCCTCAGCCACAAATCTGTGAGATGCTGAGAGAAAAGCTGCCAATAGAATCACCAAAGACAAAGAGCAAGCCTCAGGGTGACTGGCCAGGGGCCAGTAAGGCAAGCCCTACGCTCCATTCTTTTAGAGACCAGAATGCCTCTTTTGCTTTACCCTGGGGCCAAGTGTCTGAGAACAAGCAGAAGGGACATTCAGCAAGTCTTCGCCCATACACCAGTACTGTTTATTAAATATTTAAATATACATCCTTACCCGTTGGTAAATAATCGCTGCACTGAATATGTGAAGTGTCCCACCTTGTTACCCTGGCCACTCCCCAGAGTTCCCAGACCTTTCCACAATTCACCAGCTAAGTGGTTAATGCCCCTGACAATAAGGTGCCTCCAAGGATCCTGCTCTGGCCAAGATCTTTCTAATTGATGAAGGCAGT